AATTGCAGATAATAATGAAAAGATAAATTAAAAAAAGAAGGAGGAAAAAAAAAAACTTTAACTACAAACTCCTTGTCAGAATGTTAACACTCCCTCAGACCAAACTCAACTGGACCAATCAGAAGCAGCTGTTGCTGCCACAGAGTTTTAATTCTCAAAGTCCGACTTTGGTGACTGTGTTTTACCAGAATATTTTTTCAATATTTAGTTTGACTCATTTATTACATGCTGAAATGCCATGTGGTGGCACGGTGGAGCAGTGGTTATGGTTCTTGCCTTTCGGTGTCTGGAATGAACCCCCTGGTGGTTGTCAAAAGGATGACATCAGGGCTGAGATGGTTCCTGGATGGACCTCAGAGGAACTCTTTGTATGGGGGGGTGGGGGATATACAACACATTCAGCCACTAAACAAACGCAGAATTTCAGCCAAAATAATTCCTGAAAATGATGGTTTCAAATAAGTAAATATTTACAAAACTAGAAACTCAAAGAGGAAGCTAACAGTTAGCCTTACGGAGCAAAACGCTGTGGGAACAGTAGCTAATGCTAATAGGTGTAAACCAGTTGTTGTTGAAGATAATAAACGTCTGCTCTCCTCCACCTTTTTGTCTCAGGAGGTTCAGATGCTGAGGCTCCGCCCAGGCTCCAGTGACAGGATGGAGACCCCGGCCGTGGGTGGATGGTGAAGAGGAGGAGGAGGAGACGCTCGTCCACAGACCTTCTGACCGATTCTTCGACCATGTTCCTCCGTCTGTCTTCACTCTGTCACGGCTCACGCACGGAGAGATGGAAACAGGAGTCGGGATAGAATTCCAAGGCTGAAGAAAGAACGACTTCCTCTGATGTGAAAAAAAACTTTGCTCTGATTAGAACAGGAAGTGTGGACACTTGAAGAAGAAGAAGACGTTTTGTTGTAAAGAGCAGAAGGTTGGAGTCGATGGTGACGAAGATGGGTTTCTACCAGAACAAGGCCTCCTGGTTCCTGTTGTTAGCTGAACTGCTGCTAACAGGATTAGCTCTGGAATATGAGGGAATTCCCGGTCAGTGGACGCGCTACGGACAGTGGGACGCCAAGACGACGGGCGAGCTCAGCTTCATCCTGAAGACCAACACCAGCAAAGCCCTGGTGCTCTACCTGGACGACGGAGGGAACTGCGACTTCCTGGAGCTCCTCCTCACAGACGGCAGGGTCCATTTACGCTTCACCATCCATTGCGCCGAACCGGCGTCGCTGCACATGGAGACGCGCGTCAACGACCAGCGCTGGCACAGGATCCTGCTGTCCCGTAACTTCAAGGAGACCAAGCTGGTGGTGGACAACGAGGAGAAGAAGGCGGAGGTCAAGTCCAAGAGGAAAGAGATGGTGGTGGTCAGCGACCTCTACGTGGGCGGGATCCCGCCGGACGTCCGTCTGTCTGCCCTGACGTCCAGCACCGTCAAGTACGAGCCGCCGTTCCAGGGTCTGATCGCCAACCTGAAGCTGGGAGAAGCTCTGCCGCTGCTGCTGGACGGTCAGGCCGTCCACAGCGACCTGGAGTTCATCTGTGACGCACACTCTCCCTGCAACAACCAGGGCCTGTGCTCCGTCAGTCAGGGGGAGGTCCTGTGTGACTGTATCAACACCAGCTACAGGGGGCGCTACTGCCAGGAAGGTGAGGAAAAAATCTCTCCGCTCCCTCAGAATGTTGGTGTTTTCGTGACGCGCTCCTTATTGTTGTCAGGTTTTTAGAGACTGCGTTCACTCTGCAGTTTAGAGACTGCGTTCACGCTGCAGCTCAGTTACCATTGGTTACTGTGTGTGTTTAACACCAAATATGGGATATATGGGACTGAGATATGGGTCACATAGAGTTGAAGAAGTGGGATCTGGCCCACTACAGTGTGGACGTGGTCTCATTTAAATTATTGGGCTCCAGGTCCAGGGTTCAAATGTTCATGTCATAATAATAATAATAATAATTATTATTATTATTATTATTATTGGTGTTTATGGTTTATGGGCTGGATGGATGTTGAAGAACATCAACGTCCACAGTTTGAACTGGTTTTATACGATTTATTTATTTCAAATAGAAACTTAGTTTGAGTTTTTTAGAAGTAAATATCTCTTAAATATTTGACATAGTACTGTATAAGTGTGTGTGTGTGTGTGTGTGTGTCCACCCACAGTGTTCTGACTGTTCACTACATTAGGTTCTGTCTGTGGGTTCTACTGACAGACGTCGGTGGTAATGGAGCAGAACTGACACACAGTACTCTGGATGGTTGATAAATATATGTTGTATTATATGCATACATATATATTTATATATATGTATATATGTACATACATAAACAAACATATATGTATATGTATGTATATATATATACATACATATATGTATATATAGAAACATACAGTGTATACATATATACATATATGCACATATATGCACATATATTTATATACATATGTGTATCTATATACATATATATACATACTGTATATATGTGTATATGTATGTATGTATATATACAGTATATATATATGCATTTGTGTCTATACATACGTATATGTGTATATGCACAGTCATACATGTGAACATATACTGTATGATTGTTGTGTCGGCTGTGATGTAGACTGTCAGCTGTGATGTAGACTGTCGGCTGTGATGTAGACTGTCAGCTGTGATGTAGACTGTGGGCTGTGACGCAGACTGCCGTGTGACCATTGACGCCCTGTGTTTCTCCTCTTCTCCTGCAGGGGTCCAGAGGGAGGTGGAAGGTAAGACCATGCATTATTCAGTCAGGATAATGAGGAGCATCATTTGTTTGCACTGAGGCCTCATTACCACAGGCTCAGTGAGTGGGTCTGTGCGGCCCCGCTTCTTATTGTCAGTTTGGACTGCAGTTCTGACATCCAACAAATTAAACTAAAGGGAGACACTCCCTCTCTCCCCCCTCTCTCCCCCCACACCGGTCACAGGGTCACTAAGCAGGTGTGTAATGTGCTGAATGGTGGTTGTATGTGCAATCAGTGGAGCTGAAGGTGACTGCAGAGGTCTGCAGAGCTGGGGGGGGGTTGGGGGGGCGCGTTCATTCACAGAGAGAACGCTGTACTACTGTACTGAATTTGATTTCACTCTTTACTTCTTTATTTTTGACTTCTTCACTGTAGTACTGGTGTGTATCTGCTGTGTACTCAATAGTACTCACCAAAGTCAGTATATGTGCTGGGGGGGGGGGGGGGTACAGTGGGAAACAATCCTCAGTCTGCTCTCACTGAACTGAAACAAAAATAATTTATACATTTTATAAAGATAAAGATTCCTTTGTTTTCATTGGTCACATGTTCCACATGGACCAATGAGAGCAGGACAAAAATCAATTAACAGAACGCCACAAATTAAAGCCTGATTTATTCTGACAGATTTTGAGGAATTTTTAGATAATCCAAGATTATATCAATATATATAAAAATATATATCATATTTTCTTGACTCAAGTCCAGAATCCTAAATTAAATTCTGATTGAATTCTTAGCTCCTACTTTTGGGGAAATTCCAGGAGGATCTAATTCTCCTCGGAATTTGTTTTTTTTTCTTCTATGGGTTTGAATTTATTTCAAAAGGACTGGAATGTTCTCTGGCAGAAACGGAGACATTTTCTTTCTGTTTTTGGCAACGTCTTCCACCGACCGCGGTCTGGTCTCTAACAACACATCTCCACCGACCGCGTTCTGGTCTCCAACAACACACACACGGTGAACCTGAAATGAAGATGGAAACATTTGTGTTTCTCCCCCACGTGCGCTTTCGTACAGAACTCCTGACACATAGTTGTCACATGACATTAATGTCCTCATGCAGAGTCGCATTACTGACACGCTGGGTGTGTGGAAATTAGAGCAGAGCAGTTTTAACCATGACACACACATATATATAAATATATATGTAAATATATATATA